TGGTAGATTAATTTCACTAATACATGTTTTTCATAATAATATTACAATACATCATAACAAACACTTGTAATACAAAAGAAAACTGAGTGCACAGTTTTACTGTTCAATATTTTAATGAAGCAGATGTAGCCTCAATTTTTTTCTATCTCAACTCTTCCTACTTTAGGAGAAGAAGACTAAACAAAAACTGTCAAAACATTTGAAAGCAAAGTCTATATATTAGTTTAGTGAATTGGGTTGGTGAAACAACTGTCACTACAGTACGTGTTTTACTTTGTTACCTTTTAAATGCTATGAAAATTTCAATGCAATGCTAATGCTATGAAAATTTCAAGAATGATAATCTTATGATATTGTACAGTTTTTCAATAAACAAAACTAAATAAGTATTAACTGTACACTCAGTTGAAGGTAAGCCCATTCCAAGCTGTCTATTGAACTCCAATACAGGAGTTATACAGGGACGCATATCACTCAATATAAAATTTTCTTTGCACACAATTGCTAGCCATCTATAAGGCTCACACATATTACACCCCCAAAAGCAATGAGGAATGCTGATGATGGTTTTATTTTCCAAATGCACAATAAGCGAACTTGGAAATGCAACGACTGTTACTTCTGCTGCTGATGACAAATCTACATTAAAGGGAGTTGGCATACTGGTCAAAATAGCTGATGAAGTATATCAAGGTATAAAAAACATAAATAATCTTTAGGTATTGCACCATCACTTAGTACTCAGCATGGCATAAACAAACAATTCTGCTGACCCAATATTGGCTTTAGGTGCAGTACATTATTGTAGTACATGGTCTGAATGCAGATCCTTGAACAAAATGATGTCATACAAGTGCACATATTGTCATTCATATCATAGTATCATACACAATTTTATTACAAATATATTGTAGGTATTCAGTAGGTAATTTTGTACCTGTATTAGTACATCCTAGAAAGCTAACTTATACTGCAAGTTCTTCCCTTTCACCATAGATTTTGATGCATTGTTAATGCCCATTGATTCTTCAGCCCTGGACAATCAGTAGCTCATTTTCAGCCAGTATGCCAACAAGCAATATGAGAAATGAGACAAGGGTAGCTATGCAGTAGCTTCAAATGAGGCAGCAAGGACAACTACGCATGATACCCACCCAGGTGCATTTAAATTGGAGGCAACTGTATGAATTGTTTGAATCAAATTGATTTATATATTAATTCTATTTAGCATACATATAGATTTATTATATATATATATATATATATATATATATATATATATATATATATATATATATATATATATATATATATATATATATATATATATATAATATATATATATGAATATATATATATATATATATAATATATAAATATTATATATATATAATATATATATATATATATATATATATATATATATATATATATATATATATATATATATATATATATATATATATATATATATATATATATATATATATATATATATATATATATATATATATATATATATATATATATATATATATATATATATATATATATTGGCCCCCTAGACCACCTCTTGAAAGACATCAGAAAAATAAAGGAGCAAGAAGTAAGTCTGGGTCTCTTCCTGAACCCTTCCAAGTGTGAAGTAGTCTCCTCCAACCCCAGACATCATAGCTAGAATAAAGTCTGCCTTGCCCGGAGCCCACGTAATTAGGGCTGTGAACAGCACTCCCTTTGGGGCCCCCCTTGGGTCTACGACCATTGAGGAGATCCTTGATAAGAAAATCACAAACCTCAAGAGGATGGAAAACAGGATAGGTGACATCGATGCCCACAATGCTTTCTATCTCCTCACTAAATGCCTATCCCTTCCGAGGCTAACCTGCTTTCAGAGGTGCGCCCCATCCTACGACAGCCCAAAGCTTGAAGAGTATGACCTATTACTGAAAACCATGCTAGAAAAAGTTGTCAACCTCTCCCTCAATGAATGCCAGTGGAACCAACCACTCTTCCTGTCAGGCTCAGCGGTGTCCACTGAGTGCAGTGCAATTTGAGTGTTCGCACCGCCACCCAAATTGCTGTCCCAGCCTTCTTTTCTTCCTTCTCAGCATCAGATAACCTGGTTAAGGAAATTCTACCTGACAACCTGTGTGACTTAACAGGGATACAGGACTCCCACTGCATTGAATGCAACACAAAATGGGGTACCATGGCAGACCCAGCACTCAGACCAACCCTGTTCAAAACCAAGAAACAATCCAGCTGGGACAGCCCCATTGTAGACAAAGAAGCCACAGCTTTGCTGGAGACAGCAACAACCGCCAGTGATTGTGCACGCCTCATAGCTGTGCAGGCTCCCCATGCAGGGGACTTCCTTTTGGCAGTCCCTATGTCTGTGACAGACACACGTCTTGATCTGCAGGAGCTCCATAATGCAGTCGCTCTCTGCCTTGCTGACCCTATCCACACTGTTCATAGGTGTATTTGCAGCAAGGCAGAGGAAGATGAATATAGACTGCATGGCCTGCACTGTGGAAAATCTGGTGGTTGGCATTCTAGACATGATGAAGTCAATGACATC